CCCTGCAGACAAAGGACCCTCGATGTTCAAGAGAGAGGGAGACCGCTGAGCTGGGAGGGCTCCAAGCTGGCCGCCTGGAGGTGCAGTGCCAGATGGCTTCCTCTGGTCATTCAACAGCCTCGCCCACTGAACAAGCACCATTGGTGCTACTTTCGTGCTAAGCACTGGGGATTATAGCAGAGTAAGTCCGCACTCTCACGAAGCTCCCCCTACATAGTATAGCCAAATGACAGACACATTCAGAAATAAATACATGTAAACCCCCAAATGAACCCCAAAACATACGGTCGTCTGATCCTTGACAAAGAGCACAAGACAATCCAGTGGGGAAAAGAAAATCTCTTCAAGAAATGGTGCTGGAATAAAACTACTGGTGGAAAATGCTGGGGAAACTCTGGAAGACATTGGAGTAGGCAAAGACTTCTTAAATAAGACTCCCAAAGCACAGGCAATAATCCCTAAAACAGACAAGTGGGACTATATTAGACTAAGAAGTTTCTGCACAGCAAAGGACACAGTAACAAGTGTGAACCGACAACCCTCAGAATGGGACTTGGGCACACACGCACATGCGCCAGATGTGAGTTTAAGCCACTGGGTCCGGGACTTGAACTGCAGTCAACTAGACGGGAGTCTAGCGACATCATCATTATGCCAACTGCTGGTCCCTATAAATGTTTATTTTCAAGTTTTACTGTATTTTTATTGCCAGAGGCACATGCATGCCCTAGAGACAAACAGATGAATAAATTCCTTTGGCTGAACGGATTTTTACCCAACCTACCACTTTCTGTTGACGGGTCAATTCAACATTCTGACTGACTGACTATTGGGGGACTATGTACAGATGACGTGGAGACCCTGACCTCAGCGGACTTGGCTTGATAGTGATGGCGTGACTAAAAGGAGAAGAGGAGGTACAGGGCAAGCACAAAGAGCCCTGCAGACAAAGGACCCTCGATGTTCAAGAGAGAGGGAGACCGCTGAGCTGGGAGGGCTCCAAGCTGGCCGCCTGGAGGTGCAGTGCCAGATGGCTTCCTCTGGTCATTCAACAGCCTCGCCCACTGAACAAGCACCATTGGTGCTACTTTCGTGCTAAGCACTGGGGATTATAGCAGAGTAAGTCCGCACTCTCACGAAGCTCCCCCTACATAGTATAGCCAAATGACAGACACATTCAGAAATAAATACATGTAAACCCCCAAATGAACCCCAAAACATACGGTCGTCTGATCCTTGACAAAGAGCACAAGACAATCCAGTGGGGAAAAGAAAATCTCTTCAAGAAATGGTGCTGGAATAAAACTACTGGTGGAAAATGCTGGGGAAACTCTGGAAGACATTGGAGTAGGCAAAGACTTCTTAAATAAGACTCCCAAAGCACAGGCAATAATCCCTAAAACAGACAAGTGGGACTATATTAGACTAAGAAGTTTCTGCACAGCAAAGGACACAGTAACAAGTGTGAACCGACAACCCTCAGAATGGGAAAATATTTTTGTTAAATATGCCTCAGACAAGGGACTGATAACGAGAATACACAGGGAACTCAAGTGCCTTATGCGAAAAAAAATGATTAACCCGATTAAAAGATGGGAAAGTGAGCTGAACAAAAGTCTCTCTAAGGAAGACATACGAACAGCCAAAAAGCATATGAGGAAATGCTCGACATCCCTCATCATAAGGGAAATGCAGATAAAAACCACAATGAGATACCACCTAACCCCTGTCAGAATGGCAAAGATTAAGAATATAAAAAGTGATAAGTGTTGGCGGGGATGTGGTGAAAAGGGAACCCTCCTCCACTGTTGGTGGGAATGTAAACTAGTTCAACCACTGTGGAGAACAATATGGAGGTTCCTCAAAGATCTACAAATAGAACTACCATTTGATCCAGCAATCCCACTTCTGGGTATTTACCCAAAAGACAGGAGAACGCTCAGTCAGAAAAGTGCTTGCACATCCATGTTTATTGCAGCATTATTCACAATTGCCAAGACATGGAACCAACCTAAATGTCCACAAACTGATGAATGGATTGGAAAAGTGTGGTATATATACTCTATGGAATACTACTCAGCCATAAAAAATAACAAGACCCTGGAATTTGATAGAAAATGGTCAGATATGGAGGATCTATTGCTGAGTGAAGTAAGCCAGGCTATGAAAGAAAGATATTGTATGTATCCACTCAATATATACCGACTATCCGCACTCTATAATAGAGAGCAAAAATTCGGAGGACATAAACACAGTGAAGGTACTTAATGAGAATAGGACAGTGTGGAATGGGGTAAGTGAAGAGAAGAGGATAGAGAAAGATAGCAAGTGAACAATAGAGAGACAGGACGTTAGTGAGAAACAGATAGGGGTTATTAACTGTTGATGATGACATGTATAGTATTCTCAACTGGATTGGTCTGAGAAGTATTTCATGATGGGCAAAGTATTTTTACAAGCAAAACGAGAAATAACAATTGACTGTTTTATAAAAATAATTAGAATAATAAAAATAATGATTGGGGAAAACAGAAAAGATATTGAATGTTGAAGTGGGGAGATTAATGTCTCTGTACTGACTGACATGCATGGCATTCCCTTTTGAAAAAACAATGTAATACAATGTAAAGTTATATGTAATCCAATGTAATATAAAGAAGATTATGATGATAAAAATGCTCAAAATCCCGATGGGATGGAGAAGTGGAGGGAAAAGGATTATAGCCTGTCTACGCCCCATTGGAGCGTGCTTTCTTTCTCCCCCTCCCTCTCTTTCTGTCTCTCTCTCTCCTCTCTGTCTTTCTCTCTGGTGAGTGCATATACCCTGATAATGAAAAAAAGAAAAGAAAAAAGAAAACAATACTTGAATATGTAAAAAGTATAAGCAGTATTGCTTTTTTCACATTGTATTGCACATACAATCTAGAACTCAATTCTCTCTCTCTCTCTTTTTCTTTTTTGAGAAGATTTTGCTATAGGGTGCATGCACTCACCAGAAAGACAGAAAGAGACAGAAAGACAGATATCGAGAAATCACTCCCCAGGGGGGATGACCATACCACAATCCCTTCTCCTCCTTTCTCCTCTCAGGATCTTGGGCATGCACTCACATGTGCCTGGTCTGAGTTTAAGGCACCAAGTCTGAGTCTCGAACTGTGGACAACAGTTGACTACATGGGAGTCCAGCGACATAGTCATTATATTAACTGCTGGTCTCATCAATTATTAAATAATCAAATAAGCATTGCAATTTTTGTGTACCTGCCAGTGAGGATTTTTTCCAGTGCACTATCAAAAAACACTTTCAGTCTTCACTCCAGGCTTTCTCTACCCACTAGTCTGTTTTCAAACAGCCTAAAAGCGTATGAAAATGTGCTCAATATCTCTTATCATAAGGGAAATGCAAATCAAAACCACAATGAGATACCACTTAACCCCAGTCAGAGTGGCTAAAGTTAAACAAAAATAATAATTATGATAAGTGTGAGCGAGGCTGTGGTAAAAATGGAACTCTCCTATGCTATCAGTGGGAATGCAAATTGGTACAACCACTTTAGAGAAGGATATGGAGACTACTCAGAAATCTACAAATAGAACTACCATACAACCCAGTAATTCCACTCTTACATATTTACCCAAAGGGTAGCAAAACCCTCAGTCAGAAAAACACCTGCACATCCGTGTTTATTGCAGCATTGTTTACAATCGCCAGGATGTGAAATCAACCAAAATGTCCAAAAATAGATGACTAGATTGAAAAAAAAAGTGGCATATGTACTCTGTGGAATACTACTCAGTCATGAAAAATGAGACCCTGACATTTGACAAAAAGTGGACAAATATGCAAGACTTAATCCTAAGCAAAGTAAGCCAGACCATGAAAGACTTTGTATGTCCCCACTCAAAACATCCTCTTGTCTGCACTCTACAGCAGAGACTGAAAGTTTGGGAGGTACAGAAGCAGGCAGGGCAACAATAGAGCATGTATAGGGGTAATATGGGGGGTGGGCAGTAGAGGGAGGGAGGGAGGGGAACAGGGGAAGAAAAAAAGTACGTTTAATTGACAAAACAATGAAAAGCTATTTGCTGATGCTAATGTATGCAGCAATGTCTTTATCTTGACTGATATGCATGGTATTCATACTGGAAGAAGCAGTGTTGTACATTGTAAAGATAAATGTGATCACATGCAAATTTAAAACATTTTAAATAATAAATATATAATGGCTATTCATTGTAACAAGTCCTGAAAAGAATAAAAAGGGGGAGGGGGATTACAGAGAGGAAGAGTAGGAAAAGCCTCATCGATGTGATAGCCATAATAAAACCCCCAAGTCAGTCCCTCTTTCCTGCTTTCTCAAGTCACTTTCAGACCTACTCGGGATCTTGCCCTACTCTCCCTCATTATGTCGGGAATAAACCTTCTCATACGCTCTTGGTGTGTTTTTTGGCATCATCAGCCTCAATATGAGAACTGCTTGTATGGGATGATCATAATAGATAGAAGAGAAAGCTTTTATTTATGAAGAATGCCAGTAAATGAATAAATACAGGAGCACTGACAGCATTAGGAACCTCGACTTGGCAACCACCGCTGTAATAATTGGTTCAGACAAGAGAGGTTGCGGGGAGCATACCCTTTCAAGGTTATCAAATGCAAGAGAAGTAAAGGTACTTGTTAAATGGAGCCTATGCAGACACCACCTAACACGAGACTGAATTTAACATCAATAACGGGACAAACCGGCATCCTGCGCCTCCGGCTAGGATGTACCAAGAAGGATACATCACCTATTTTATTATAAAACGCCTGTCAGAAATGTGGAGTCTGAATTTCATCAAAAGGAGACAGTCTCCACCCCCAAACACACACCCCCCTCGGTCGGACCCGGGCCGCGTACAGGGCGCCCCCTGGCGGCGCGCGCGCTCAGGTGAGCGCTCTCGGGCTGGCTGCGGGGCGAGCGCGCGTGCGCACAGGTGCACGGCCCTGCCCGCGGGCTTGGCCACCTGCCCGGTAACTTGTGGTTGGTTGTTGCTCTCGGGTCGCTCCCAGGCGGGGACACGGAACCCGACCATGGAAGATCCGTCGGGGACTCGTGACCCCCGGGCCACCCCAAGAGAGCGAGGCCCGGAGAGG